AACTCTCTCCTCTTATGACTGGGCACATGGCAACATGTGTCTTTCTCTCTTGATCACTCTCTTTCCCACTCCACACACACACACACAAAGTCTGTCTATTCTATGTCCTCCTCAAGTGTACTTTCTTTTTGTCCAAAGTCTCAAGAGGCAAAACTCCATCATGAAAACCAGACGAAATTAAGCACAGACATCCAGAACCCTCAGCCTACCCAAACTGAACCATCAGTAGCATCTTGCCATAAAACCGCCCTCACCCTTTTACTCTCTGAACAGCATGCATCATCGGCCCCCTCAGAAAAAATAGCAGAAAGTCTGAGTTTGTATTGGGTGGTGATTGATTTTTGTCTTCTCTGTTTTGAGTTGCTCACACAAAAGCAGCACGATTTCAAATAGTCTAAGACAAAAATGGTCTCAACAAGCTACTAAGAGCAATACCAGCTCTTCAGATGATCAAAGTGCAAAAAGTCAAGAGTACAAAAAGTGCCTTAAGCTTCTGCAAATCGAATTGACTTTTTAGGACTGTTGGGAAAAAAGCAAAACATTCTTCAAAATATCTTCTTTCGTGTTCCACAGAGGCAACAAAGACATGCAGGTCTGGAATGACAAGGAGGATGAATAAATCATTTTGGAAACACCCCTTTTTGCGTATGTATTTAACATAGAAAACTGAGATTACAGAGAACATATGTTTCAAATTTTTAATAAAATGTTGAATAAAACGGCTAGTGTTCTTGGAATGACCAGCACCTGCACGTGATTGACTCGTCTCTAGCCTACACTCTAGAGCAGTTAAAGGCGTCAACACCCACAATTCTCTGTGACCAATCTGGACACTGGCACCGTCCAAGCGAGAGTCTGTCCACCAACTGTTCAAGGGTAATTAGCTGCAGCAGAAAACACAGGCCTAATTACAGTGTAGCCGAACGCCGGGTCACAGTATCAACCCCATGCCTAATCCACCAATGCTGAAGACAAATTATCACACCAGGTTGTTTACACCTGATGTACAGAGATAGACAGAGAAGCCACTCAGGCAGCCGAAACTATTGGGTAGACAAGTGCATATCATTATCTATGTACAGCGAATCTGCATCCTGCTTCTAAACATCACAGGGCAAATGCATTCGCCACCACATCTGGCTCTACTTTGCTACACTTGGATGCATGCATGCGTTCACCTACAAACACACAGAGACGCTTTACGCAAGCAGAAAGGGTCAAAAGTGATAGCGATCTTTGTTGTGACAGTTGGTCGGTAGAGAGTCCTAGATAAACAGCCAAGCGGCAACGCTGCAAAGAGAATGCGAGATCAATGCGTTAAAGCAAACAAACATTGGATATACACACTATTATTACATGAGACTAGCATAGAGGAAGCAGATGAACTCTCTCGACAAGGGCCCATCCTGCAGGGCATGAGTGTGCAAGACTGTGTCTGTGTGCACGAGCGGTGGGGGGACGGTGGAAAGCCTTGCACTGCAAACGCAGCCCACTGAATGCATTTGTACTGTTCACTCATTAAGAAATAGGTCAAGGATTCCGCCTGCATGCATCGCAACTTGTCAAAATCTCTTAAGCTAAACGGGCAAGCCCGTATGCCACCATGAGAGAAGAGAAGAGGGGCTTCTCTGGAGGTGTATTGCACGCTGGTGACACAGCATGCAACTAAAACGAGCATGGTATTATTTATGACCGACCAACCTCAAATGCCCCTCTGCTTGTGTTTAAACCGTTCTGTAACCCAGAGTAATTTCGGACATCGTGGTTTGTTGCCGCAATGTATTTATCAATAGGTGGCGCTATGGAACTATGTGGGCCTACTCGAAGTTTGCTGGAGGGATTGGTTGCAATTATCCATCACAGAATTAATCCCAGTGTTCAGTCAAAGCCACAGAGAATGATGAGCTCTTCTGCAAACATTAGATGCCTGGTGGACAATGGGCGAGATGAGTGATGAGATAGCACATACTTTAGGATCTTTACATTGCCGTTTTCACAGCTGCAGAATCTCCTCGGAAAGTACTGATAAGGTAATCTCGCTGACCTCAAAAATCCGAGCCAAGAAGATACAAGCACATATCCAAATTGGCCCCTAAACTAACACACTCGAGCAAGGCATTTAACTGGGGCAAGCAGGATAAGCACTCAGCATGGGTCTCTTGTGGCCACCCCATTGAGATTCGACCCTCAGCTTCCCCTCAAACGTATACATCTATCTGAGAGCCAACGGCTAAAGACAGAGGAACAAACCCCCTTTAAGCACATAATACCCTCCAATTACCCTTCAGGAAACGCTTAATGCACCTGACTGACATAGTCAAATCAATAGCATGCGACCCAACGTAAGAATGCTAGAGGCTTTTTGACAATCAGAATGAACATGCAAATCCAACATAGGAAGCTCACGCTGGGAGGAAAGGCGAAGACAGTTCTTGATTCACTTTACAATTCCGATTAAACCGCATGAAGCCACCATGGTAAGGGAAAGGAGGAAGCAGGTAAAGTTGATGGGTGTGTGCGCCCAGTGGAGACTTGTCCTCTCGGCTTTGTGTAGTTAACCTTATTGATTAAAGAGCCTGTGATCTGGAGATGCTCTACAGCCTTCCCTGTCTCAGAGCGCCTCATCAAAGAGAACAAACTACAAAGCCACGCAGCGACCAGAACACAATGTACAGAATGTAATGATACTCTGCTCATCTAAAAGCATTAAGTGTGTCACTTGTGTAGGTTTGACTCCCTTATCTAAATGTTTTAAACATTGGCGTACGGGACACTATGCGGGAGGCCCCAGTATGAGCCAATTAAAGTTATGGTATACCATCAGAGAGTCTAAATTTTTTTTTTTTTAAATCTGCACAGTCAGCATGCATTACAAACTACAATAAAAGTGGGAAAAACGCACAAGCTTGATTATTAATTACCATTATCAATTCACTTTGTATAGCAGATCAAATAAAAACGCATGCTGATTAACATGACAGAGCGACACCTTATGTAACAAAAAATAAAAAAATGTAAATGACTAAATTGGCCAAAATTAACAAAATTTGGCCATGACCTCACCACTTGGAAAGAGGACCCCAGGGCTTAAATGCCACTGGATGTAATGTATGCGGAATGTAAACTGAAATTCAGAGATATGTTGACTTATAAAAGGATTCTATATGACTGAAAGGATTATAAAACAAAAGCTGAGCTACTTAAAACATAAAATATGAAACGTATAAACTTTTAAACTAGCATATGCATAGCCATGGCAAATAATTATCATCATTGTTCTCAGGTGTCTCGTGTCAAATTTTCAGGACAAACAGACAAATAAGTGTAATTTGAAGAAAATTAAAAGGTTATGGCATTCATTTCAGTAGCATTTTATGAGCTTCCTCAGCTTTGATAGCAGTGAGTGAATTTGACTAAAGCTGAATTTCTGTCAGTAATATTTAGTAGGCTATAGTTATCCAACCACAGGTAACCACCTAGTTATGTAAATATATCTAAACGATCTAGCCAATTACATTTTGTATTTATGTATTTATCATGACCGTATGGTCGACTCACCGTCCGATATTGATCTTATCGGAACGCGTTCAAGCAACCTACTGTTGCTATGGTTACCTCATCAGGCGACCGCGATTTCACTGAGCGTCTATTTAGCACACTGACGAACTTATTAAAACCGAACTTTTGCGGTTACTGAAAGGTTTGAAACCCCCGTTGAAACAGAAAAGGACATACTTTCAAGACTTCTGTTGCTTCTTTTATTCATCTCAAATTAAATATGGATCGAATTCTCCACGAAACTGATCATTTAGACGTTCTCCACTAGCAATGCGCTCTTTCAGTTCTTGAATAGAGCCGTTCTCACCCTGCCGTCTCGGGTCAAACCGCTGTTTCGGAGATAAAAACGATGATGTGAAGAGGTCACGCTCGAGATGAATTCACCTCATCTTCCTGACTGAAAGCGCCGTTTGATTGTGTTAGTCAGACACCGATTAATATCATCCCTGTCCTTCATAGCAGATGCCAGTGATTCTCATGCAAATGCTGGCCGATTTTCTACTTAAAGAAGCATTTATTTTCTTTAGAGCCGATGTCAGAGCCGCGAGTTAAGGGAAATGAAGATTTGTGAGTGCATCTGCTGTGGTCCAGAGGAACGGAACGGAGTTTTAGGTGAGAGGAGCTGAATTATGAGCACTCTGCAACAATCTGTTTCACATTTTGAACGTCTATCAACTTCTTTGACAGGCAGCGTCCCACAAAACTGAGTATGCGACTGTGATAGTCATGTCTATTTAAATGGATATTGAGGAAGATTCCGTAGGCTAGAGGCTACAGGAGTAGGCTATACAGATAAGATCGCAAGGAGAGCGCAAAGTGAAGGGTATATGATGTTTAAATGAGCGTAAATTAAATCAATAAAATAAGGTTAAAGGATTATCATCGCGCATATGCATGAGGAAGATTGATGAGCGACATTTTCATTTGCGTGTTTTTCGCTTTGACGAGGATAATCAGCAAACATTGTAGTTTTATCTCTGATTCTGATCTCTTAATTATGTGGGAAAAATACAATTAAAATTAGGCAAAATTAAATTAGGCTATACACAATCATTATCATTAACTTATCTTATGTGGTGAAAAAAATGCAATTAATTCAGCAAAATTCAATAGACACACAATCATTATCGTTAACTGCTTGCATATTAAGTTTAATAAGTTTAAACGTGAAAGTGAGGATACGGTTGTTTGTTTTATTGAGATTTCCAGCATCACCAGCAAACGTTTCCACATCTAATGCAGAACCACCAAATGAATTCCCATTATCCTAATTATATTGCTCAACTTCTTTGCGATGCATGAGCAATTTGCCATGAATGATATGTTTTCTCTACGCTTTCCTCCAACACGTTGCACGGAACACATTAGTATTCCTGGCCACATCTCCCACGAAAAGCATTTCTGGGCTTGAATGAATTCATGAAGCACGTTTGTCCACTCACCTACAATCCAGAAGAAAGCTGAGGATGCTATCTAATGTTCAGTCAAAAGATGCCTCTGCGTTCAGCTCAGTTTTGACAGATAGATCCACATCCGAATGAATGCCGAAGCTTCAAAGGTATAGGCACCTTCAATAAATTTCTCACAATTCCTCGAAGATTTCTTGCATGCGAGATGATGAATGAACGGTCGCCGCGCGGCTTCAGGTAACTGATCTATGCAGCAAAATTCAACGCTTTATCGGTCGATGCCGGAGGATGGTCATTCACAAGCGCATATGCCAAGTGCACGGCACATTCCCCCAGTCCTCTGACACGGATAGCGGCTTGACATCACGCCTTTTTCATCAGCAGCTCTCCGTTAGATCGTCGCGCGCGCGCTCATTGCTCTCCTATGAAGGTTTTACGCGAGACTGGCACAGGAACCGAAGCCCAGCAGCGTTACAGTAGCAGCGCGTTTAAACCCAGCCCCCTGTGCTAGCACTCACTTACGACCGGCTCTATTTGCATGTCGCATGTTTTAACTGTTTCATTCTCTCAAAGATGCTCATTTTACAAATGCAGAACTGAGGTGATTAGAAATGTGCATTTGCATATTTAGATTTAATATAGGCTACTAATCTCGCCATATTGGCTAGTGAGCTGTTATAGTGCAATATGTCTCAAGGCTATATTGTCTGTAGTCATGGGATTATCTATCTATTTAGCTGCAGCTTCCTTAATGGGATTATTATTATTATTTTTAATCAAAATAGCTGTTTACAATAAACTGAGCATTTGTGTGCAATCACTTTTTTTTTTTTTTTTTTTGCAAAGCATAAAACGTACATAAACAAAACTGTGGCACAATCACTTTGTTCAAAAATAACATGCGATTCACTAAATATGATCTATAAGCATTTTCAAAAACAGCATGGATGAAGATCTTGGGATATGAAGTTCATGCCTTTGACCTCATGTGAGATTACAGAAAAATTCAGCAAATAATATATATATATTTTTTTGCAGTTAATAAAAGTTCCCTCACAATATGTTAAATCTATTTACAAGTAATAAAATGTTTAATTGTGTCTTATTTTACAAGCAGCTGCAAGTGTGAGGGAAATGCTAGCCCAGTAGTAATTTTGCTAGACAGTGCCATCTTTGGACAGAAGATTGCAATTACCTCATCTAAATCTATTCAACAGGGGGTTTAGTCAAGATATTTTGACTAGAACTCATTATTATGGGTATTATATTATGGGTCCATAAACTATTATTACTTCTCAAAATAGCTAAAAATATATCAACATTGAGAATTAAACATTTATTTTAAAACACATGACTACAAAATATTGTATTGTTTATCAATACAATATAATATTTGATAAATCTGAATAACATTTAAAGTAAATCCATTCATTTCTTATGAAAAAAAAACATAATTATAGAAACTTACAAACAACTATCCCTCTCTATCTTCGAGAAAAAACATTGAAGTAATAAACTTTGATAGTATAGCCTTTTGTTTTGCACAGAAAGGGAGAGAATGAATATTGCCATGCTTAAATTATTGTTACATGGATACAATTGTTCAGTCATAATCATGTCTGTCCTTTATTTATGTGGCTTATTCCTGTAATAAAAAACAAACTGTCTTTGTTTCGACAGAAATATCATCACAAACATATTTCCGTGTAAAAGGAGTGCATCATCACAATCACAAATCACAGCTATTCTTGTCTATGCTGATGTTCGTTTCAGATACAGTGTGTATGTGGAGATCTGAAATTTTGCTTCATAATGATCTGTGCTGCTGCTGCTTTCCGTAACCTGCATCTATATATAATCACAGGAGTTGTCCTTTTGCATTTCCTTCCAGAGGAATTAAAGGCTAAAACTTGTGTTTCATCTAAAATGAAATATTTCCCAGCATCACAGAGCCATATAACCCCAACAAATGATATTTGGCTGTCAGAGAGGATTAGTGGGCCATTAATAGTCTCTTTCTACAGTAAACGAGATATTGCATCGTCAATACCTTTTTACAGACTACATCAATCTTTTCCTCGTTCTTTTTAGTTTATGGAGGGGGGAAAAATCATCTCACATCTGACGGCAGGGAAAGTTGCTGGAAGTAATAGAATAACCACAGCCAGACAGGCTGCAGGATTTTGTCACATCTCCCAGCTGCACATCTGTCGCCGAATCTTTTAAAGTGGCATTCTACAATCGATAGTTTGATCGGTTAGCTCAAACAGAAATGGATTACACATTGGCCTGTCTTCTACATCTTTGTACTTTAAAAGGGGACATTGCGGGAGCACTTATTCCATGATCCATCAATAATTTAGAGTGGGAAAAGAACCGGTGGCAGCCATCAAAAATATTGCAAAACTGCCAGAGGAGAAGAGCGCATCTACCAAGTCTTGTGTATAGCCTACTAAAAGCTGTGTGGACTCTTCAGAGAAGCAGGGTCAATATCTGGAGGGCGTCCATATTGAAGTTCCACTACACTAACTCTCAAATGCATCTTAGTCATCCACTGGTAATCAAATATAGTTTTTTTTTTTTCAATATACGATTCACTGGTCATTATACAAGAAGTATGTTTAAATAAAGGGTAATTCAATTTGAATCGCAAAGTTAAAGCTCAATCCAGTTAGACTGAGCCGAACACTCATCTGCATAAAATGAGAAAACCATTGTTTTATCTATAAGTCATTAGTGCTGCCAAAATGTTGTGTAGAAAGTGTACACACAAATCTCTTATTAAAGAGCGCTGTGTAGTGCACAATATATTTAGCCATGGTGCTCATGGACGATGCAGGTTCGTATTCAGGTTTTAAAAGTTTTTTGCAGCGAATAGAAGAACCATTCCCCAAATAAACGTTCACTTAAGTTCATAAAATAACTATTTTCTTAGTGTGAAGAACATTTTAATAATCTAAAGAACCTTTTTCCACTATAAAGATATAACCTTTAGACCAATGGAAAGGTTCTTCGTGGAAGCATCGATGCCAATTAACAACCTTTATTTTTAAGAGTATGTGTCATGTCCTCTCTCTTTGCATAATCTCCTGCATTCTCTTATCCTGTCTTATTAAAAGGTATAAATAAACAAACAATTTTTAATTGTGTTTTATGGGTCTGTAAACATGGTATTTAAACATGCAGGAGTATCAGACCAGATTCTCTCGCATTCCTGTGGCTGCGATTACTCAAGTTGATGAAAAGGTAACATCTGACTTTGGCCATTTGAAGTCAGCTGACAGATGTGTGTGAATGGAGACTGCAGCTGTGTAGCAGAGAACACATGTCCCGCGTTAAAACCACTGCGCGGCTTGACTCAAGGTTGAGCTCAAGTGCCAGCCTTGGAACGAATGCTATAATTGGTACAATCCATGAAACATTATGCCTGACCTTGGCCGTGGTCATACAATCTGAGCCTAATTACTGATGATTGCTGGACTCCGAGGGGCAGTGAACGCGCCCAAATCGGGTCCAACTTCCAGATGGTGAAAAAGTAATATGGATCTGAAATATTTCAGAAGACTCAATTAAAACATGTCAATTATGTTTGCTGGAAATCATTAGGTTAACGGCAAGTGGAAGTACTTAAACGAGTCCGTTTATAATTAATGTCAATTTTCATTTCATCTGATGAAATACAACAAAAGTACATATACAGTATATCACAAGAGATCTCACAAGAGATCACAAGAGATATACAGTATCTCACAAGAGACCCCTCACATCTCAGCAAACATTTTAGTATATCTTCTCAAGGGACAATATATAGAAATTAAACTTGGATATATTTTAGAGTAGTCATATGTGCTACTTGTATAGCAGTATATATTTACTGTCCTCTGAAAATAACTCAACATACAGCCATTATTGTTAAAATAGCTGGCCACAAACGTGAGTACACCCTAAGTGAACATGTCAAAACTGTGTCCAAAGTGTCAATATTTTGTGTGAATTGTTATCTAGCATTGCCTTAATCCTCCTAGGCAAGGAATTCACCAGAGCTGCACAAGTTGTTGCTGGGACCCTCTTCCACTCCTCCATAATGACATCATGGAGCTGCTGGATGTAAGACACATGACACTTCTGCACCTTCCGCTTGAGGACGCCCCACAGGTGCTCAACAGGGTTCAGGTCTGGAGACATACTTGGCCACCCCATCACCTTCAGCTTCCTCAGCAAGGCAGTTGTCATCTTGGCGGTGTGTTTGGGGTCGTTATCATGCCATTCGGCCCAGTTTCTGAAGGGAGGGCATCATGTTCTGCTTCAGAAAGTCACAGTACATGTTGGAATCCATGGTTCCCTCAATAAAGCGCAGCTCCCCAAAACTAGCAGCACTCATGCAGCCCCAGACCATGATGCTGCTACCACACCCATGCTTGACTGTAGTAGGCAAGACACAATTTTCTTGGTACTCCTCACCAGGGCATCGCCACACATGCTGGACACCATCTGAGCCTAGCAAGTTTATCTTAGTCTCATCAGGGCACAGGACATGGTTCCAGTAATTCATGCTCTTGGAGATGTTGCTTTCAGCAAACTGTTTGCGGGCTTTCTTTTGAGCCAGCTTCAGAAGAGGCTTCCTCTGGGTTGACGGTCATGCAAACCGACTTGTTGCCGTGTGCGGCGTATGGTTGAGCACTGACAAGCTGACCTTCCGCTTCTGCAACCTCTAAAGCAATGCTGGCAGCGCTCATGCGTCTGTTTTTTAAAGCCAGCTTCTGCACCTGACGCACAGCACGAGGACTGAACTTCTTTGATTGACCTTTGCGAGGCCTGTTACGAGTGGAACCCGTCTTGGAAAACTGTATCTCAGTTTCATGGTGTTACCAATCTACTTATATCATCTTTGTGGAGAGCAACAATTCTAATGAATCCTTAGAGAGTTCTTTGCCATGATGTGCCATGTTGAACATCCAGCCCGTTCTCATCCTTTGGCGTCATACATGTGACGCTTTGTACATTTCGTCGAAATCTTACGTACATGGCATCCTTTAGCATCAATATGAGACGCAGAACCCAAGGCGTCATACAGGTGACGCGCGTCTAAATCCGACGCACATGGCATCGTTTAGCATCAATATGAGACGCAGATCCCAAGGCGCCATAACCGTAACCCTACCCCAGACCTAAACCTACCCATAACAGTGCGTGTTATATTGACGCTAAAGGATGCCATGTGCGTAAGATTTCGACGAAATGTCATATGGCGTCACCTATATGACGCCAAAGGATGAGAATGCGTTGGAACCACTGATCTATATAATGACTGGATAGATCATGACGTTCTAAACTGCCACCAGGCAGTGAAGCCACCGGAAGTGTTCGAGCGGCCATCTTACGATTCCCTACCAGCAGAGGGCTCCAACGGCCGTTATACAGAGATAGGTAGCTCCGACGGCACTTTTAAGATGACCCGCTGCGCATCAACAAGTGTAAAACGAAGATCAC